AACACACACATTGCAATTATTCCTCCTCAGAATCCTCCCCTTCGCTTGGAACACACGCCATCACTTTGGATGCTTTGGGAAGAGCCAGAGGTCACATGGTTCCAAAACCCATGAATATGGTAGACCAGGACACCCTATAACGTTTTCACAAGCCTGCCTGTCTATTGGACAGCATCTGGCAGCAGCAGGCCCTGCAGTTTTGGTCACCCTTGTTATTTGTTTGTATTTGCTTTTGGCCATACTGGTGACTGAAACAGGGCTTGCACACTGAGCAGGTATTTTTTTTAATTTTGAGGTAAGGTATTGCTAGGTCACTATGTTTCCCAAGCTGGGTCAGAGAGAATCCTGCCTCAGCCTCCCAGAGTGCCGGTATGAAAGGTGGACATATTTTTATACATTACAGTCAGGGCTTATTTGATGATTGGTAACTGTTATTAACGAAAATAACAGTCTCATGGTCTGTGGACCGGCTCCCAAAAAGTGAAGGCAGAAGGCAAAGCCAAAAGCATCCTAACCACTGACAGCTCACTCAGGAGGAGGAAGTGGAGATGGGAAACCCGTGTGGCAGGCACTGCACAACCTCCGTGCCTGCACCGCGGACACTGCCTGGTGAGCGTCAGATAGGACCTGATGGCTCCGTGTGCGCTGGGTGGTGCTGCTAATGAGCTCTGGTTTCTTCCTTTTCTTTTCGTGAGACAGGGTCTCTCTTGTAGCCCATGCTGGCCTCAAAGTCACAGTGATCCTCCTGCTTTAGCCTCCCTGATGTCAGGGAAAGGAACTCCCAGCATCAACAATATCTGGGCCGGGCGTGGTGGTACCCGCGTGTAATCCCAGCACTTGGGAGGCGGATGCAGGAGGATCGTTGTGAGTTCGAGACCAGCCTGGGCTACAAAGTGAGTCTGAACTGCAGAACAGACCCTGTCTAAAAAAGAGGAAAAAAAAAAATCTGGGACAAGGGGCTGGGGATTTAGCTCAGCACCTGCCTGGCAAGCACAAGGTCGTGATTTCGATTCCCAGTACCAGAAAACAAACAAAGAAACAAACAAACAAAAATATCTGGGACCAGTTCATGTTCTCTAAAATCAAAGAATGAATTTTAGGAACAACAGAGGTTAAGAGCAGAACATATTTATTGAGGAAAGACAGCTTCTGTCCCACAGAGGGACAGAAGGGGGTCCCCAGTGGGTTGCCCTGGGAACCCATCTTTTCCAAGGATTTTTATAGAGCAAAACCACAAGGTGAGGCGGGTCCAGGGCCGGGGGGAAATGGGAAATCACAAGGTGGGCATGACGTGGCACAAGACTATGGTCAGCCAGTAAGAATTGTTCAGATAAAGTTGATTAAATCGGGATCAAATGGGGAAGTGAGTCAGGTAGCAAGTGGGCATGGATACAGAAACATCTCCACTTGCAAGGTATCTTGTCTTCCGTATTGGCTCCTTCGAGGCCTGGCCCTGTCTGCCTGCCTGTATTTCCATCTAACTCAGCTGCCTGTAACATCCTGAGTGCTGGGATCACAGGTCTGCACCACCACCTGGCATGAACTCTAGCCTCTAAAAATAATCCAGCTAGCACTGGGAGCCTGAGGCAGGAAGATTGCCAAGAGTTGGAGGCCAGCCTGGGCTCCATAGTAAGTTCAAGGCCAACCTGGACTACACAGGAAGCCCCTCTCTCTCTCAAAAGAATAAAGCAGGAATTGAATGAGTTTCTGAGAAGTAACTTTTGATCACTGCTACCCACCCCACAGAGTTATTTTCTGTGTAAAGCTTTTTATGTGTAATCAATACAACAGCAGAGGTCATGGGGTCTAGAGCCACCGGACCCGATCCCAGCCTTAGCTCTAACACACTTTTCTGAGTCTAATTTTAACCGTTTGACCTACGGAATAGATTCATGTGGCTTAAATTCAAATTTTAGTTACCCAATAAGTCCTCCCAACTCCTCTCTCGCGACCTATGGCCTCTCTGAAGGTTAAACAATGTTAACCTTTTTTTTTTTTCAGCACTAGGGGACTGAACCCAGGGCCTTAGCACTGAGCTACAACCTGTCCTTTTCATATTTTATCTATCTATCTATCTATCTTTGCGACAGGATCTCGCTATGCAGTTCAGGTGGGACTGGAGCTCACTTTGTAGCCCAGGATGGTCTCGAAGTTGCAAGGATCCTCCTGCCTCAGCGTCCCGAGTGCTGAGATTACAGGCGTGCGCCACCACGGCTTGCTTATCATCTTTTATTCAGTGACAGGGTCTTCCTAAATCACTACGTCGCCTTGGCTGCACTGGAACTCGCGATCATCCTGCCTCCGCCTCCCGGAGAGTTGTTAACCGCAGCTGAGCCGCCGCTGCTGCGCGCGCAACTTGTGCGCCTCGCCGCGCCTCCCCGCCCGGCCCGTGACGCACGGCGGCCCCGCCCTGGC